GGATTCGAACCCTGGGCCGCTGCAGCAAGGACTCAGCCTCGGTACATGGGTCGCCAGCTCTACCCACTGAGCTATCCGGGCGCCCAAACACTGTGTAAATTTCAATAAAAATACAGCAACAATTTACCTCAAGTCCCCCTAGAATCCATTAGCAGCATGTAAACATGTAATAAACTGAATAAATGGCAATAAAACACCCTATAATGTGGTATTAAGCATATGTGTTGATTAATGTGTTTGTCAGCAAATGTAACTCATGATGTGGGTGCTCATGAGTGAAGACTGGTGTATTAAGTTATAACTGTTGACAAATATTGTATATTTTTTTATTTTCCTAACGTTTATAACCTCAGACACTGTGGCTTATTAGAAAGGTATACACTTTTGATGCTTTACTGATGACTTATCAATGTCTCAACAATCAATAAAGTTGTTACAACCTTTTTAAATGGTGTCATATTAGAAAGTTGTACTAGTATGGCAAAATGAGTGACAGATGCTAATTTTGCATTCTGTGATATAAAAGCTGGTATTATTTCCTACTCAAATCAGAATTTTAAGGTGCACAGTATGTAACAAATAAGAAATACTGGGCACTATGACCCAGCAGATAGCCTACTCTTCATCGAGAGAGAAAAAAAAACAAGGCTGTGATCAGTGGTGCTTGTTTGATGTCAGAGTCTGTATAAAACTGAGACTTTGGGCTGGCTCACCATTCAACCACAGGGGGCCTGAGGAGACACAGCTCTGGAGAACCTCTGCCCTACATGCGGATTATCTGTGACATCTTTCCAGATGTTGGGACATCAGGACGCGCTGTTCGTCAGTTACAGACAAGCCTCTTCTGTCTTTTATGTTGTGCACAACAGTTGAGAAGTTTTTCTTTTATGGCTACAAAACGGAAATGTTTGACCGGCGTGGTATGGATATTCGCTTCCATAATTTGGCATATGGACATTAAAACCTGATACAGGCGAAAATGAAGAAGGAAGGAAGGAATCAGTGTTTATATTTCAGACTGATTGTGCCATTTATCTGACCGGATGGCACGTGTAAAGGCGGCGTTCGTCAAGAGAAAGGGCACCTTAAATGTCAGACATCTCAGAGGGTGACATAAAAATATGACAAAAAAGTAACTAAAAGTTATGGAGCGCTCCGGTCAAGTCGAGCCAACTCAGCCGGTGAACAGCACAAACGACAGTTTTATTACAGATGCATCCACTGTGGATGTCAGCGCAGAGAGTCTCGTCTATCAAATCAGCCTGGCTGTGATTCTCTCCATTATCACACTCGCCACCACTTTATCCAACGCGTTCGTCATCGCAACAATCTCCCAGTCGAAGAAACTGCAAACTCCTGCGAACTTTCTGATCGCCTCTCTGGCCATCACCGACCTGCTGGTGTCCATTCTGGTGATGCCCATCTGCGTCCTGTACACGGTCATCCACACCTGGACGCTGGGGCAAATCGTGTGCGACATCTGGCTCTCCTCGGACATAACGTGTTGCACCGCGTCCATCCTCCACCTGTGCGTAATCGCCTTGGATAGGTACTGGGCCATCACGGACGCGGTGGAGTACTCCAAAAAGCGCACGCCGGGGCGCGCAGCCGGGATGGTGGCCACAGCCTGGGTCATCGCCATCTCCATCTCCCTGCCGCCCCTCTTCTGGAGGCAGGTGAAGGCGGAGGAGCTGACCAGCTGCAGCGTCAACACGGATCATATTTTCTACACCATCTACTCCACCTTTGGGGCTTTCTACATTCCCACCTTGCTGCTTATTGTCCTCTACGGACGGATTTACGTGGAGGCTCGGAAACGGATCCTGAAGCAGTCCCCCAAGAAGGTGGGGAAGAGACTCACCTCGGCGCACCTGGTCACCAACTCCCCTGGGTCCGTGGCGTCCACAACCTCTCTGCAATGCGGGAGGCACGACACTCCTTCCAGCGACACTGGGTCTTCAACAAGCGAGAACCAGGTGAAAGTGACGGTGTCGGACGCGCTTTTGGAGAAAAAGCGCATTTCAGCAGCCAGAGAGAGAAAAGCGACAAAGACTTTGGGGATAATCCTCGGCGCTTACATCGTTTGCTGGCTGCCGTTTTTCATTTACACATTGGTGGTGGCCACATGTGACACATGTTTTAATGCCGAGTTATTTGACTTTTTCACCTGGTTGGGATATCTGAACTCCCTCATCAACCCGATCATATACACAATGTCCAATGAGGACTTCAAGAAAGCTTTCCATAAACTTGTGCGCTTCAGATGCTGCAGGTCATGAACGAATGTTACTTCAATCTCCTTTTAGATTAATTTATGTATTTATTTTTGGATATCAAAATCAAAAAATGTACGAGATAATAGAATAGTAAAAATGCCATAAACAATACAATTTTAGGGGGTCTGATTAAGACATTATAAGTTGTGCATGCAAAAGAAAAAAAATCTTAAGTCATTCGGTCCAACCCGGGCATAAATTCAGTTTTTATAAGCAAATAAAGAAAATCTAGAGCAAAATCGTTCCACATGCGAGGCAAAGTTCTTTAAAAGCTTGTTTTCATTAAAAAAACAAAAATTTAATATATAGAAAACAAAGCTAATGGTGAAGAAAACTAACTTTACGCACCAGACAAAGTCACTTAAACTTGTCATATCCTCCTCTTGATGGAGAAATGTGCTGTGTTGTCAGATTCAGTGATGGACTGTTAGTATTCTGTGTGGATTCCTTTTTTGGTGGTACAGTATATCAAAGCAATGCACAGCGCGTTGTTCTCATGCGACGACTGACCTATTAATGTGAATGAGCAGCAGAGATCAGGAACATCTGACATGTCAAAAATATAAAAATGTGACTATCCAGGATCCTTTTTGCATTATGTGTACAAATACAGGAGTTTTATTTTTAAAACTCAGAGATCGTCAAATGGCTATGTATCCTGAGAAATGATAACAGTGGGGTGTATTTTTTATTATGGTCACGGATTGCTTGCTGCTACCCTGTATGGTTATCTTTTTTATTTAGAAAGGTACACTCATGAAAAAAAAGAAAAGATTCATATCAGTGTCAAACAAAGAAACTGTAGCTGATATTTACCCAGCAGAGCTGAAAGCTGATCATAAGTTCAATCTTGCATAACAAACACCACCCTGTTTTACTGTGTGTGTGGGTCTGTTTGCTGCTACATTAAATCTGTATCTACAGTATGTTATATTCATGTGTGAATTGGTTTGCCATTTTATGGCTATAGAGACTGATTTGAATAATAGTCTGGCCTGCCGAGCTATAAAAATAATGCTGAGGATTTGTCAGCATTATGTGAAATAAAGGTATGTTGTTATAGGAATTCATCTGTTCACATTCAGAGAAGCTGTGCAATAAAAGCTTTAAAGTATTCGTTTGGCACAATTGTTCTGTGAGTGAGTTTTAATTCAGTTTTAAATGGGGTCGAAACTTCTTCCAGATCATAAATAAATACATTTAATTTATTATTTATTGTTGACATGAAGAAAGCAGCACAGATACTCTGACAGATCATTTAGTTTTATCACTTTTGTTACCTTGAAATGTAACAAGAGATTAGATTAATGGCCCTGGAGTATCACAGATATGTCAAAATAAAATCCAACAACCTATTGAAAGATGTGGCAGGGCATCAAACAAAATATAGTGGGTCATTTCACATGTGGGTGGCTGTTGCTCAGGACGTAGAAAGGCTCATTCACTAATCAGAAGAGGTTTAGCGGTTCGATCCCCGGCTCCTACCGTTGCGTGTCAAAGTGTCCTTGAGCAAGATACTGAACCCCAGATTGCTCCTGATGCTGTGCATCGGTGTGTGAATGTGAATGAATGAGTTACTGTTTGTAATGGGCCTCTGCCATCACCGTATGAATATGGGTGAATGTAGCATGTAGTGTAAAAAATGCTGTGAGTGGTCGGAAGACTATAAAGGCGACTACAAGTACAGTCCATTTACCATCCTGACGTTCCTCAGGATGAGATTCTGTTGTGGCTGGGATTCTCACTATGGTTTGAACTCTCCACCATCTTCCTGCCCTTTCCATCTTTCTGCTGTCATCCTGCAGGCACAGGAGGACACAATCTGTGTAGACAATGGCTGTCACAGTTCAATAAGTCATGAGGCTGACAGTGGGTGATGCTCTTCTTGTGTACTTCACACAGAACGGGCCACTCATTTTGTCAACGCACGCTCTAACACATACACATGCATGGACCCTTTGGCTTTCCATATATGCATTTCCATAATGGCTCATCATGCATGAAAGATAAGTGCACCTGAGCAGGAGTTTCTGCTGCAGCTACAGTATGTTGACTGAAAAAAGTGACTGCATGTGCATTCTATGTTAATATATACATAAATCTTCCCTCAGGAGTATTGGATATAAACAAAGAAGCCTCTGTTGGACAACAAGGAATAACAAGTCCTTTGGTTTTTATCAAAGTCAGTCACAGGTTTAAAAGCCATCAACTGTAAAGTATAGAAAAAAGAACACCCAGAAAGCGATGATTCAATTTGGTATTTCATGGTATAAACACATAAACAGAAAAAAACACAATTATGGTAATTTGAGGCTCAAAAGACAAAAGTGAATCAGCAGAACAAGAATGGTACCACGTTTACAGCTGTCGTTGACCTATTTTTTCCATTTAAACAAAACAAATCCAGGTGCAGGACAAAGAAAAGGTAGAGGTGGTATGCACACTGAAATTTAGGAGCAAAATGTTACTGCAGCATTTTTACATAGGTCTTTGTCAGGCATACATCCTTCTGAACAAAAAACAGGCTCACAATTTATAACGTCCTAAAGAATAGACATTGTTAGCGAGATCATTTTTAAAGAGGACAAAGAGTAGAAGGTAGAGACTAAACATGAAAAGACACAAAATCAGTAATGGGCTATTGATCTCCATTATATGCATTTTTGTCTTTTTATAAAATGTATAGTAACGCTTGACTTTACCTATGAGTGCTCACAGGCACAGTTGTTGACTGTCTATCTGCTCTTTTATAACATGTTATAAACCATTTAATAAAAGTTCATATAAATATATATAAATATATAAATATAAATGCTAAGTAGGGCAGGTTACCAACATAAAGTGTTACCAAATGTATATTGCAAAAAGAAATATAAAAATGGTAAACAAAGTATGTATCACATAAGTCCTGACTGGTCTACCGTCTTTTCTTTAGCACATTATATGTTTGTGCATAGTAATTTGTTTGGGGGAAATTGGCATTGTCAGATATTTGATGCCTTAATTGTTGGTGGAGCTGTCAATTTGTGTCTGTATGTACACCTCTTTTTTGTTTACATTGTTGTTTGCCTGACAATGAGCTCACAGGTCCAAACGTTGCATTTAAAGAGCACTCCCCAACATTTAACTCCAAAAACATTGCTGAATTCACAAAAAAAGATCAAAAGCGATACAGGAGAATGAGATATTTGTTATCTTTTTTATTCCAAGCATTCTTCTTCTTGGTCACAACAGGGCATTTCCCACAATGCAACTCAACTGCCAAAAGCTGGGTTGGAGATTCAGGTGTGTTATGCTAGTAGCAGCGAATGTACTGTAATGTACTAATGTGTAACTGTTGTGAACATCTTGGCATTCCTGACTTCACCAATTCGCTAAATAACTAGCTATAGAGATCAAAACAGTTTTTGTACCAGATTTTAAATTTGAGCATTTTAATATGGGGCCTGATGGAGAGAGTGATCATTTCTGCAGCCAGCCTCAAGTGGCCGTTAGAGGAACTGCAGTTTTTGTTACTGCCATGTTGGTTTCATTTGCCAGCCACAGAGGTTGCCCCTCGCCTCAAACAGAGATGAGGAGCGGTCTGCAGAGGTCTGGTAAGCTCACTTCTTTCTAACCATATTTGTTTCATTTTCAAACTTCAGCCTCAACTGACACTGACCCAAGTGACATCACTTGAGGCATTTTTTATGTGATTCTGTGCACCTAACTCTTGAGCCACAAAATGCTTCATATAACTTTTTCCACATATGCAGCAGTCCTCCTCAAGACCTTTAAACAGACCTTGATATGTTCCTCTTTAACATTTTGGGAGCTTACACATACAGGATAGCTCATACTGCAGATGTCACACAGTCCTTCTGAATGCATGCAGAGGATGATATAGAGCAGAGTTGATCCATAATGGACCAGATAAATTTTTCATACAGAGAGACTGTACAGAGATGTTTAACAAACAGGGTTTATGATTTTTTGTATCCAAAGCAGCATTGCATGTCTGCTGTAGGTTACACTGCTGTACCTTCAGCTGCAGAACAGTACACATTATAATTTTGTTGACACGGGATGATTGCGTCGTGCAAACACATACATTAATTATACAACCACTTTTTTCAGCTGAATATGCTGCATTACTGGTTTGCCACAGGCTGGCTGTGGAGTGAAGGACATTGCTGATGTAACAGCTAGTGAAGCTGAACACATGGATAATGAACCTATAAAATTTTCTTTGGCTCAATGTAGTTTGGGTTAACAGCTTTATTGTTTCACCCTTTCTGGTTGAAGACGGTTCGCAGCATTAATCACCTGAAAAATGGAGGCACAAGGTACCCGTATGCTACTAATAAATTACCTTACTTAGGAGATAACAATTGACCTTGACAGGAAGGAAACGAGTCAGCAAGTAATCTCTAAGCCAACATGGAAAGGTAAGGATATTGAGGGTGAATAACAATTAGAGGCGGGTCCTGGTATTAGTTTTCAGCAATCCTCATACTCATGACGTCCATAGCTACCATTTTGTGTTTTCTATACAGCACATGGGCTGATGGGACAAGAGCCTTACTATGGTTTACTTGTAAAAGTATACCTTTTGTGATTCATCTGCTTACATGTAGTTTTGTATATTATGTCTTATTCAAATGTTGACCACTTACCATTATTAATTGTTATGCTTTCCTGTATGGTTAAACCCATTTACTTGTTATATGCACAGACAGCCCAACCTAGACAGTCTGAAAATGCATCATATAAAAACAACTGTAATCAATACCTGGAAGAACAATAAACCCATTATATCCTTTTACCAACACCTGGTGATAAAAAGATGATGTGGCGTTAAAATTGGACAGTGGAGTCAATGGTCGAGCAATTCGCTGCCTTATTTGTGCCCAAAAACACTAAAGGCGCCTCAGCTCATGTGTGGATGAATGTTTCACACTCTATGTTATTGTGAATGTGTGTGTGTGTGTGTGTGTGTGTGGTGTGTGTGTGTGTGTGTGCGCGTGTGTTAAATCACAGCCTTCAGTCAT